CTCTTCACTTAGAGATTTATATTTAATACTTAAATTTGTTGCTAATTCTTGCAATTTAATTCGATTAGTATTAGTTAATATATTAATATTTTGTAATTCTTCTAAAATAATTTTATCTCTTCTATTCATTTTATAAGTTTTAAAAATTTTCTTCAATTTCGTTACTAGGCTCTGTTACCAATTCTATAGGGTTAAAAGCAAAAAATAACAATAAGGATATAATTGACAATAACTAAAACATAAAAGTAAAGAAATAATAGACAATTCAATCTCATCCGTCTACTAAAATTTATCTGAACCGTACATGTTATTTTGTTAACAATCTTTGTCAACAAACTTGGTACAAATGGCTTAATTCTTGATCTAAGTGCCCAAGGGAAGATAATTGGGAAGGGGGGTTGTTGACCAAACGAATGTTGATGTCTTTTGTTAAAGGGGGGCGAGCGACCTAGGTAGCGAGTGAATAATTTTTTTGGAATGACAAACATTTGAAAACAAGTAGCTATCACAAATAGTTGGCAAAGGCATAAACCAAGTTGCTGGTCTGAAGTGAATTGGGTATGGATGTTCATTGAGCATCCCAATAGACAACTTTCTTAAAGAATTATTANACTTAAGTAACAGTCATATTAATTGAGCTTCCAATTAATCGCTATATGACATGTCAATTTAATACAATGTCATATCTTAAAAAGTATTAAAATAAAAAAAATACGATTTTTAATTTTTTATTTAAGACATTGTCCTAACTCTCATTTTACCTTTCCATTTCTTGGGTATCACATATCGATTACATGAAAAATTAGTTATGCCGTGACCGCTAACTAAACAATTTCCATCAAACTAGGACACAATAAGGGTCCGTTTGATTGCAATAATGAAATTTGGGTGAAAATAAAACGAATTCTAGGTAATTGAATTGTCTAGAATTTGTTTTACTAGAAATTGTCGATTAATTATGTTTGATTGGTATAATTTTTCATCTGAAAAATATTGAAATTTTCCATATTTTGGTGTTTGTTTGACTTTATTTTCCAGGAAAATTATATTTTGTGGCACAAATTCCAATGCATTACTTTCGACCCAAAATTGATGGAAAACTCCACGTGTGCTATGGAAAGCTGATGTGACACATTTATACCATTAATTTGTCCACTTGAAATAAAAATAAAATAAAATAACCTCAAAATAAAAAACATCATCCTCCCATTTTCATTTTCTGCACCATGACTGAATCCATTTCCATTTCAATTTCAGTTCAACCACATGCATTAACAATCCTAAAGATCACGATCTGCAATGCGAAAATCACGATCGTAGCCTCCTCTTCCACTTACACATCCGCCTAGTTTCTTGGCTTTCGTCTTCAATGGTTTCTTGGCAAATTTTTATCTGCAATTCAATGGTTTTTTTTTGAATTTGAGCTAAATTGACGAAGACCTATATATGTCTGTTGTCCATAGTAATGAGTAGGAGGTAATGGTGGTGGTGTGCAACTGCGATTCTCAACGCCGACGTCGGAATTTGGGATGTACTGCGCATGATACGCTACATTCGAACTGGTAAGAGATGCAATCCGTTATAAATCATTTTTTTATGTTATGTGGCCAAGAAACCGCTCACCTTGATGACTATTAGGGGCCTGTAATGGAGTATGGTCGTGGGTGTTGGAGGGTTGGCCGGAATTGGTGTTGAAACCGTGCGTGAAGGCGTCCTTTTGAGCTTGAATTTTCGGTGACTTTGGAACTGTTATGTTCGGTTTTTGGTATGGAATTGAAGAGTGTGATGAGGAAATGTTGATGGTGTGGAAATCCGGTAGTTTGCCTGGCGGTATAGTGGTTGAATTTTGGAGTAGAAGGTGACGGCTCCAAGAGGTAGAACGGCTCCGTTTCTTGATGGTGCGGAACTGTCTTGTTTCAATTGCCAATTTGCAAAGAAAACAAAAAACCAGCTGGAATTTGAATTCCTTATTTTGGTGGAATTGGGGGTCACGTGTAAGAAAGTGAGAACCAATTGCTTGAATTTTTTTTCCTATCAAACAGGTTACAAAGTGAAAAATTGCTAAGAATCCGTTTGATTGCAATGGTGAAAAATAGGTGGAAAGAAAATGAATTTTAGGGAAAGTAATTGCCCAAAAATTGTTTTACATTGAATTGTTAATTAAGTGTGTTTGATTTGTATAAGTTTTCACCCGAAAAATTTTAAATTTTTGTATTCGTTTGGCTTTATTTTACATGAAAATTGTCCATTAAAGTGATAATTTTTTCCACAATTGGTTATAAAATTTGTTTCCATTACCAAAAAGTAAAAAAAAAAAAAAAAAAATTAAAAAAAAATTTTTTNAGCCTGGAAAAAGTTTTCATCAATTTCCAAGAAAATGGGTCACGTGAGCACCCCAAGTGGAAAACAAATTCCTAAGAAAATTATACTTATCAAACAACTAAAAATGTGGAAAATGGAAAAAAAAATTCCAGCTTCCAAGGAAAATAGAGACTATCAAACAGAGCCTAAATAATTTCCATCTTCCATGAAAAATCTTCCCTATCAAACATGGCCTAAGTGACAAAATGTGATGGGTTGGTAAAATTTGAAACTAAATTGAAGTACATTAATCTAACCGTGGTTAATTAAAGTTTAACGAATCAAATTAAGGTTAATTATCTAAGTGATAGAAATATTGCCTTGAAAACCTGCTTCATTTTTATTATTTATGAAAATCTCAGTTATTCGGCGTTTAGGCAAACTAAAATATTTTTGTTTTAAAGTATTTATCGAAATATTTTGCCAAACTATGTTGTTGCTCAAATCTTTTGTAGAAAATTGAAATTTTTATATCTTGCTTATTTTAATTGGAAAAAATAGAAATCTTGATACCAATAATTAATAATTTTTGTACATATATCGAGTACATGACCTTCTATCGAACTACAAATAATTGCTAATTTACAATTCTCTCACAAAATAGTATTCAATCCGTCACATAAAGATATGTTTGCTTTTATTTTTCATTAGTTCCAAATTAAAGACAACCTTCTTTGTTGAGAGTATAGTTGATTTCTTAGTTTAATATACCCATATTTAATGTATTTTGTTATATAAAAATATAAAATACTTCTATTTGAACCATTATTTAAATTGTAAGGGTAGAATTTATATTTTTAACTATATTAATTATATTTTCTTTATATGTGTGAAAAATGAAAGTAAACTTATCTTCAAATAACTAAAGGAGTATTAGAAAAGATGCGCAATCTAATACCGTCTCAAAGGAAGACTAACCTAAACAAACTTTTTCGTTAAACGGGGTCTAAATTTTAACTTAGATTTTTTTTTTTTTTTTTTGAAGTTTTTATTATCTATGACGTAAGGAGAAATTGTTGCGAATGTCCTGTAGCAAGACATATCGTAAACAAATAATATAATGATAAATAGAATATCATCCCTCTAATATAATTTATTGGTTATATTGATAAGTGTGTTTTAAACATTTATCTAATCTTCGAAAATCGCAAAATATTGATTTATTGGGAGGAACTCTACAGTGTTTATAGTGCGTTTAAAGGTTAAACCTCGTATATTTAAAGATGATTGGTGCAAAAAAAAAAATGGCAATTCAGAGTTGTGGATGAAATAATTTGCGTGCTTGAGGCTCAGGGACCAAACTTGGACAAAAATAGCAAATTGGCAAAATAAGATACAAAGTTTAGGGACCTATTGTGAATTCTTGATTTCATGTCAAAATATATATAGCTCGTTTTTTGGTTTAGGTAAAAATCAGATTTTCAGTAAATTTAGATAAAAGTTGTGAATCCTTTAAATGTGTAGTTGAAAATAAGTTTGAAGAAAAATAAGTTGAAAAATGAGTACAAACGGTGACGTGATGAGGCCAAATTGGCCACGTGGGCCAAATGGGAGCATACGGTGGGCTGATCGCAATAGTTGAGAAGATTGGGCCTAAGCATCGCTGGCCCAGTAGTGGAAACAAAGGTAGAGGTTTGGAGTAAATAGAGCCCTTGCAAAGTAGAATTGTTGCCCCCACGTTTGCTTCCTGTCTGATTTTGGTGGTTTGGTACTTTGGTAGGTGCAATATCCGGTCTGTGTGACATCAAAAGGACAGTTCAATATTCACTAGTGAGTTTTATATTTCAAATGAACATGTTTCATCATGCACAATTTAAGACTGCGGGAATTTCTTTGGCAATGTTAATGTTCAAATCACAAGCAGATGGACACAAATGAACATGTTTCATCTTGAATGCATTCAAATGGGCTCTGCTACAAGTACAAGTATCATTTCCCGCATTCAAATTCATACTCATAATGCATAGAATCCATAACGATAAATACATCATTTACTAAGATGGGTTCATGGATAGTATAGAAAAGGAGAATATACTTCACCAAGTGAAGGAAGCACCGATTGATGGTAATTAAGAAACAGTCAACTCAAATAGCACATGTTTGCCGCAAACCTAAAGTGGCTCCTGTTCATATGAGTGACACGGTTTTGGTGAAACTTAAAGCATAGTCTTTCCTGCACAATCGTGGTGCCAAGAGTGGCAATCCAGCTTTATTACATGCTCATCCAGAGCTTCAATTAACTGTCATGAAAGCCAAATATGATTGAGAATTTTTATTCTAAATGTTTGCTGTTTTAAAAAAGGGACTGGAGTTCCAAGATGGTAATTCAATATAAGTCAATATTTCCGAACTTCACAAAATGTCAAATCCATAATAAAACAAGATCCTCGTAGCAACATCTGCCAATAATCCTAACGACAGCTATATATCTACACAGCCACATATCTCTTGTTCCTTTTATCCGATTTTCAAACATTTCAGCAACTAAATTGTCTCTGTATATTTTGCAGATAATTTTTCCCCCTTAATATCAGTGGAAATTTTGGCTTCGGATGGTCCATACGTTAGTTTCAGACTCACCGTCTTGACTGAAGAGGCTATCGTGTCCATATTCTCCCCCAGCGAACACAGGCTTCAGTCTACATATTGGATTTCCTTTCCCACCTTTCCTTTGTGTCAAGCCTACAATATTAGAGAGTAAAAAACATTGGTAAAAAACCAGAAAGATACAGAAGTCGATGCACCATTGGCTTACAATATTAGAGAGTAAGACATTGGTAATTAACCATATCAATAAACTAAGGTTATACACTGGTACTATATAACCATATGAAAATGACCACATCAATAAACTAAGGTCTAAACATACCCCCAATGCAACTTCTGGCGCTCTTTTGATGCCTTGCTTGCTGCTACTTTTCCTTTTTCCAAAGGGGAAGTGTGTCCCAAACTGTTTTCCAGGGATAGAACTCCGGAATTTACAATGCTTTTACTCAGGTTTTCATATGTGCATTCCTTACAATTGATGTCTTTCTCGTGAGATTTGCCATCACTGTCAGCTATACCTACAAAGTTTTCCTTGGAAAATCATATAAAATTCACACTGAGGGAGCAATGCCTATGTACAAAAATATGCCATACCTCTAGGTTTCTTTTTTATTTTTGATCTGGCTTTTATCTGTAAGCGCCTTCTGTGCAATTCCTAACAAAAAATTCAAATGCTTTTAAAATCATGGCTCGTATAACAAGAAAGAGAAGCAACCTATGATCACCCATTTCTTCAGAGTTCAGAATGTAATCGATACTAAATAACAGCATCATTATAAGAAGAGAGGACAGCAACAGCAACAAGAAGCTAAGCTTTCTTTATAATAAATATCGGCTATATAAATCCTTTTCCTCCATGCCATTTTTTTTTTTTGCTGCAATTCTTTTATATATTGTTCAACAGATATTTGTATATATGGTACAGCGGCAAACAGTACAAAAGGTGATTAACCAACATTCTCCTTCCTATTCTTAAAGCAGGCATTACAGGAGTATCTGTTTCCTATAGTTCACAAATCCACAAAGTTGAACTGGCAAACAAAATCATCGCTACAAATCTATACAATAAATACAAAAAAAGTTAAATCCAAAAATTCGTATGACAAGACACAAAAATAACAAAAAAATAAAATAAAAAATGAGGTAGCAAAAACATGAGTGACTAAAATCCAAATAACACCACAGTAATCAAATAAACCCTACAGTAAGCTCATTCGATATATAATAGTTAGAAATTGAATCTGATGGGTTAATATTGCTTTGATTTCGAAATCAAACCGATTGATATAAAACATTAGAACTGCGGTGGAATAAAAATAATCAAATAGAGAAGAGATCGAGGTATACTTGGAACTTAGAGAGCTGGGATGGAGTGATGCTACTTTTCGGCTTGAAATTCGGCCTTAAAGATTCTGCAGAGGCTATAGATGCTTCTCTCCTTTCGTCGTCTTCTTCTCCTCTTTCCATTCTCTCTCTTTTTCTCTCTCTCAGAGTGTGTGTGGTTGCAAAAGGCGATGCAATCTGAATAATAGACAACTGCCGGCAACCGTCAGCAGATTGTATTCAGTGGGAAAAAGGGATGAAAAATAGGGTCATTTGGGGTATTTTAAGTTTAGCCAAGTAAAGGTGCCATTTTTCACTTTTGCCAAAAAAAATTTAACATTCACCACAATAGCCTTCTAATGTGTAAAGACAAAACTATCCTTAAAATATTATATAATTACAAAAATATGGTATAATTTAAAAGACAAAAATACATTTTTAAGTTATAAAGAACTCCAAACACTTCACACTTAAAATTTCAAAATCATTTTCTTTATCTGTTTACTCCAACACATATAAAAATTATTTCATTTTTCATTTACTTCAAACTTGAAAACAGATAAATTTATCAAATACTCAATAAGAAAATATTATTCACATGGATTAGTGGAATCGGTGATTATATTTACGTATTTTAATTTTCGTTTCGGTAAAATTATTACATTATTTTAATTTTTAAATCTTATTTCGACATGGGTATATGAAAATTTTACGATTTTAAATAGATCTATAATCATTTTTAACATAAAGGAGAAAAAAATTCATCTGCACGTATAATTTCAGAAAAAATTACTATCGTCTATAAAATAGTCAACCAGACATCCGGACGGGGTCCAGACATCCCACCTGGGTCCGGACGGACGGGCTGTCTGGGACCCGTCCGGGTCCGGCACGGGCACGCCTTGTAGTATTTTTGGGTCATAACTTTCTCCCCTAATATCCGATTGAGGTGATTCAAGATGCGTTTGAAAAACTAATTCAAAGGGCTACAACTTTGCTTCAGATACCATCTTCAAATTCGATTGTTTTCCATGTCAAAAACTGGTCTCAATATGGAGCTGAAAATCAGTGCAAATTTTTCAGCTTGAAAGTTAATATGTGATAATGTTTTGACTATATTTCATCTATTTGACTCATTTTTCATCCAATTGACCTCCAACACTCTCGAATTTTTATCACAAGGTTAGAATATTTGCACTTTAATCCATGAACTATCACATTTCTCAATTTTTGTTCTTTTTGCTCTTTTCTTCTAATTTCTATCGTATTTGTTCATTTGCAGCCTAAACCAAAATGCAAGTGTACTTAGAATATTTAGGCACCAATAAATAATGAAAATGCAATTATTAGTGGATGAAAAACGTGATAATTGCACTATTATCACCGCCAATTCTGGCGAATTTTCGCCAATTCACCATTTTTCACTTCATTTCTTTTTTGTTTCACCTCCTCTTTGAGTCCAATTTTTATGATCACGCACGTCTTCATCTAAGATTCCAAAATACGTCATTTTCTCCAATGCATTTAAACTACAAAATGACATGAACACACACATCAAAACGTTCAAAAGTGCTAAAAAACAAGCTAAAAACTACGATTTAATGAGTTAATTGCACTCATCAGTATATTATTAATTATAATTTGTATGTTGCATAATTAAATATTCAATTATAATTAAATTGCCTATTTTAATTGCTTATATAATATTTAATTATAATTAATAGTATATTAAATTAACAATTGAAATATAAAATTTAAATAAACAATTCAAATAAACAATTACATGAAATAATTCATTTTAAATAAATAATTTAAATCGTGCATTTGAATTGTTTACTTAATATTTAATTGTTAAAGAAGAATTTATAATTAAATTGCCTATTTAAATTGTTTATATAATATTTAATTATAATTAATAGAATATTAAATAAACAATCGAATATTTAATATTTGATTATTTATAACTAAATAATATTTTATTATTTTTTATTTTAATTGTTAACCGATTATTTCATTATTTCTTATTTTAATTGTTAATTGAATATTTTATTTATTGTTTATAATTAATTTAATTATGATTAATTGAATATAAAATAAACAATCGAATATTTCATATTTTATTATTTATAACTAAATAATATTTTTTTATTTTTTATTGTAATTGTTAATTGATTATTTCGTCATTTCTTATTTTAACTGCTAATTCAATATTTCATTTATTGTGTATATAATATTTAATTATAATTAATAGAATATAAAATAAACAATGGAATACTTCATATTTGATTTTTTGTAACTAAATAATATTTTTTTTCATTTCTTATTTCAATTATTAATTGATTATTTCATTATTTCTTATTTTAATTGTCAATTCAATATTTCATTTATTGTGTATATAATATTTAATTATAATTAATAGA